CTATGATGGTACTGGACACTATGCTTAACATACATACACTAATTTAATTCTTACACTAACAGCAACTAACATTTATTAAGTGCTTACCAAATATCACACATCTAAGAATTTTACATATGTTAATTCATTTAATTTTCACAAGAACTTCTATTATTATCCCCATTATGTAGATGAGAAATGGAAGTACAGAGGCAAAGGAAATTTCTCAAGGTTATGCAGCTAAGGAGTGTGGAGGAGCCAGAACCACACCCAGACAGTGTGCAGCTGAGCTCATAACCTCGGGAAACTGAGGGCTACAGAGGTTAGGTAACTTGCCCAAAACTACTTACAACAGCCAATAAGTGGCAGAGCCAAATCTAGAATCTATATGTTTCATAGTTATTTTTAATGTTTGTTTTCTCCACTAGCTCTGAATTTTGAAGGCAGGAACCCCACAGTTTTTATCTTTGTAAACCTAGCATAAGACTGGACATATAGTAAGTGATCACAAATGGTGGCTGATTTATTGAATAGAATTCGAAAAGCAAAGCCTTATAAGTTCGTAACTTGCCTTGCTCAACACTTTACCTTTTAGAAGGGAAAAGAAATTGCTAGTCTGGATTCAGTGTCATTCACATTTCACAGCTGGAAAGTATCATGGTGATAATTTAATCTGATTGTCTCTTAGAGATTTAAAATAACAAAAAAACAAACAGGCACGGAGAGGTAGGTAATGTTCCCGTGTCAGAGTTAGTCATTGCTGGAATGACAACTGAGGTTTCCAGCCCAGAGACCTTCCCACTATTGCCGGTCACTTAATTCTGACCAAAAAAGAAAAGCTGATAAAAGGGAAGTGTTTGGGACCTGGGGAGAAAGCAACCATGTCTACAGTTGACAGTGGCAAAGGAAGGGGGCACTGGGCAGAATCTGACTTAAGAAGAGAGAACTACTCCATGCTGTGGGAGGGAATGGGCATGCAATCCCACGGCAAGAATTTCTAAAAGGGAATATAATTCCATAGGGACAGGATGCTCTAAAAATGAAATTCTGCCTCTATAAGCTCAAATAATCAACCTGACAAAGTAAAGGGAGTGCGAGTGGGGTAGGGGTGGAAAGAGAAGGACATTTAAGCAAAATCACTGTTGTTGCACACGGATAAGCTTTAAAATATGATGAGCCTAGATTTTAAAAGGACATGTATACCGAATAGCGGAAGATTATGCAGCCATTAAAAAATCATGTTTTCAAAGAATATTTAATGATATGTGAAAATGGTACTATATAATGTTAAGTAAAAATAGCAAGACACAAAGCCGTATGCACTGTATCATTCTAACTTTGAAAAAAATGACATATATGTATAATTATATATGCACAGAAAAAAAGACTAGAAAAAAATACCAACAGTGGTCATCTCTTGATGATAAGATTATGGGTGATTTTTTAAAAATTTACCATCTCTTCCAAATAGTGTAAATGAGCATGCTTGGCACTTATGATCAGACAAAAGTTATTTTTTTCCCCCTTTTATAAAGGACACACAACAGATGGAAGGAGGGGACCATAACCAAGAATGGATATGAGAGCAGCACTGGCCTGTCAGGAAGACAAAAGCTCAGAACAAGCTGAGACAACAAAAAAGGGCCTTGGTAGCTGTGTTTGGAGAAAGAACAAAAAGGAAGGCGGGTTTAAGCTCAGTCCTTGGGAAGAAAATATAATATTGAGAGGGAAGAGAGAGAAGGCAGAACTTCTCAACCCCCCGCCCTGCTTGCCTTTGCCTTCTCCACCAAGAAAAGAATCTTCAAAATGGGACCAGCAGGAGGGCACTGGTGCCCTGGTCAGGGAGGGCCAGGCAGGTAGACCCTGGCCACTGCAGCTGAATTAATTTTCTCAGGCCCAGATAATCTGTACATCAGGACTCTGGGGGGAAAAGTAGATAGGATCCTAAAACTGCTGTTGATAATCCTTGAGAAGTCACAAAGAAAGGGAGGGGCAGTGACAAGCCCAGTGCCATCCTGCCTTACAGAAAAGGGGGAAAGGTAAGTTATGCAAACAACACTCTGATAAATTCAATATCAGGCTCTGGATATCTTTTAGAAGAAATTATTATCCAGTTAATTCATGGGCACTACAAAAGAAAATTGTGATACCCCAAAGCCTGAGCACACTCGCCAGGAATAAATTGTGGCACATTAACGTGACATCAATGCCTAGATCAAATACCACTCCCACCAAGACTTTCCCAATTGCCCTGATTGGAAGCAACTGCTCCTTTTTTTTTTTTTTTTTTTAACATTCATTGTAGTGGATTGAATTATGTCCCCCCCC